AGCAATTGATTTATCTCGAGCTATCTCAGTTAAAAACTTATAAGCATTTCGCCCGACTACCGTTTGTTAAATTTCCAATGTATACTCACACTGTGTATCGAATTTAGTTTTCATCCTAATTCTCTCAAAGATATAATACGAGTTTATAATCATTGTTAGATTTCTATGAAAAATAATATGTATCTATTCTCGTATTTTAGAATGCTGAACGAATAAATTTAAAACCAAGTGACTTAAATCTAATTACATCTGGCAATAAACAATCTATATTAAGACTTATTGTACATGATTTTCTTTTTCTTTTTTCGGTAAATTAATCTTGTTTTTCTCGATTATTTAGATTCCATCATACAATAATATAAAATGGATATCTGATTCAGTTGATTTAAATGTTGAAGGAAAAGGTGATCATAATGAACATCTTGTCATACTTCATAATTCTAATAATCATCAACAAATATTAGTAAGAAAATAAATTTCAATTTTCTATTGAATAAAGATTTAACTATGTAGAAAATGGTATTACGTGTTGATACATTCCATGAATCATATCGTTTACTATTCTATTCACCATTTTGGATTCTTAATCGTACGGAATTACAACTTGAATTTCAAGTAAGATACTTTACATTTTATATAAAACTTTTATTCTTATTGTTTTTTTTAGATTGAAAATAATCGTGCATTCATTGAAGTTGCTCAAACACCATTTTTAGTTTGTCCAGATAAATTTGGAAGTGATGCAAACAAAAAAGTAATCATCATTTATCAAAGAAAATCAGAAAAAAAACTTAACTATTTTAAATAGGGACAGATTCGTCTTTATAGTACCCAACAAGGAGATAATACAAAAAACTGGTCTAAGAAATTTTCACTTGATGTTATTAAAAGTACTGGTATGGCATCATGTAAAGTTACAAATGATCGAACTTATATGGTAAATAGAAATATAAACAAAACAATTTTCATTTAAATTTTATTTTTCTAGGTTTGTGTGGATATTGCAACATGTTCATTTGGTTTAACAAAAATTGTTACATTATCACCATCAGTCGTTATTATTAATAAATCTACAGTATGTTTAGAAAATCATTCTTTTTTGTTCATTACGTAAACAAAAATAATTTATTTAGATGGAAATTGAAGTAATTGACACAGTATCAGATAGAGAACAAGTTAAATGGCGACCACTTAATCCTGAACAAGTAAATCATTA